TAGCATCTTGGCAAAGACTGATGAAAGGCTGGGATTGTCTGGATCCTTCCCCTTCCATTTACCTTGAGACCTTTCTCCATATGATCTCTCCAGCACAGCAGTCAGATATCTCACATGTTGATTCAAAGATCCCATAGCCTAAGTCCCAGAGACAGAACATAGAAATAGCTTTTGTCTTAAGGCTTGGGCTTGAAAAAGGACACACAATCCCTTCTACAATATTCTACTAGTCCAAATCTATACAAAGTGGGCTAGAGGATATAGACCCTAACTCTTGGGTGTCATGGAATCTGTATTCCTCTTTAATGCACCACCAATGGGTACAGTAATTATATGGGAGCAGTTTGTGTATGGGAGCACTTTTTTAAAACATCTGCTTTATTTTATATTTAAAACAAATCAATTTGTTGAAATAATTCTCACACTATACTGAGAAGCAGTATAGTGATTAAAATGAGTATTAGAGGTAGACCAAGCCAGATTTGAATGTTAAATCAGTTTCTTACTGGCTGTGTGAACTTGAACAGAAAAGTTAAGCCTCTCTGACCCCCAATTTCTTTATCCATAAAATGAAGGATAAAAAATAGCTCATAGGTCTATTGAAATGAGACTATATAAAATACTTAGCATAGTGGTTATCACATTATAAACACTCAATAAACAGTCGTGGTGGGTGACAATAATTAGTGATGCAGCATTATAAAGCTATGCATGACTGTTTCCAAACTGGAACCTGAGACCAAAGGTTTTGTCTTACTCATTCCTTCACACCTGTTACAGGATATGACATAAAAACATCGGGTGAATAGGTATATGGGCAACTGGATAGCATTTTGCCTCTTTGTAAATCTCTGACTCAGATTTACACAAAGAACGAAGAATAATAATGTCCCCAGGTTGAGAACCACACGTTGCTAGGTAGCAGGAAGACTTGAGGCTGTATTGAAGTAGTACTTCAAACTATGTGAGAGAGCTGTAATTCTGAGGATCAAGCTTGCCCAACACACAGCATTTGTAGCATTTCCAGTGGGCTAAGACTTTGGGAAGTACATGAATCAACAGAGTGCACACAATCCTATACCTTAAAATTCTAGCAAAGGCCAAGCTAAGAATCGAAAAGGTATTGAGGAGGAGGTACTAGAAGGAATGTTAGTAAAAGAAAAAACAATAAGGTTGTTTATTTTAAAAGACTTTGAAGAACTATATTAGCCTTTTCTACCATCCTTTTCTGTGATTTCAAACCTTCAAAAGTTTGAATTTGTTATACAAATGGCAATGGTATATACTTGTTGGCAGTAGTACTTAAGCCAGACTCGAAAAGCAAGAGCATTTCTCTGGTGATCTATTCATTGGTAGTATATTCTATTCTCTGGTGGTATATTATTTTAAATTTTAGTTATTTATCTATGTACCTATTTTTAATTTTTATTTAATTGGAAAGTCAGATATACAGAGAGGTGGAGAGACAGAGAGGAAGATCTTCCATCCACTGATTCACTCCTCAAGTGACCACAACAGCCAAAGCTGCACCAATCCGAAGCCAGGAGTCCAGAGCCTCTCCTGGGTCTCCCACATGGATGCAGCGTTCCCAAGGCTTTGGGCCATCCTCAACTGCATTCCCAGACCACAAGCAGGGAGCTGGAAGGGAAGTAGGGCTGCCGGGATTAGAACCAGCACCAATATGGGATCCTGGTGCGTGTAAGGCAAAGGCTTTAACTGCTAAACTACCATGCTGGGCCCTATCTACCTATTTTAAAGACAGAGTGACAGAGAAAGAGGAAGGGACAGAGATCTTCCATTTGCTGGTTCACTCCCAAAATTCCTGCCATAGCTGTGGCTGGCAAAGCTCAAGCCAGGAATGCCATCCAGGTCTCCCACATAGGTGAAAGGGACTTAAGCACTTGAATCATCATCTGCTGATTCCTTAGGCACACAGCAGAGAACTGGGTCAGAAACGGAGCAGCTAGAACCCAAACCAGCACTCCAGTTTGGGGTCTATATGTCCCAAATGACAGTTTAACTTGCTGTACCATTGTTTAGCCTGCTGGCCCCTCCTAATGGAATTTCAATTCTTGGTTTTCTTGATTTTTTTTCCAGGTTGTGAAATATTTATATTAGGTCTATGATTTCAATAATTCTCTTGGTTTACAATGGAAATTCACATTGACTGTGGCACTTAATGGTTAATGAAAAGTAAAATAAATCAGAGTCATAGGAACCTTTGAAATGTCATGTACAACCTGCCCTCTAGCAAGCTCTGCTAAGCAGTGTAGCCTATGGAACTCTTGGCATATTGAACAAAAAGAAGAAAGGAAGTTTATCTGCTCTGGGTTTAGCCATATGTCATGAATACATTTGCTTTTAAACGAATTTATAAAATATTAATGTAATCATGCCAAACAGAAGAGCGGTGAGCACATCAGTCAGCAGTTATATTTATCCTGCATATCTGGTTTTTGTTTGTCTCCATTTATTAGTAGACAGTACGTGGAGACAGGCATTTCTTTCTCAGTCTGAGTCGCAGAACTTGTTTAATGAACTGATGTTTCTGTAATCTGTGTTAAGGTAGGGTTGTGAGTGACACAGCTGTATGACTAACAATGAGGAGGTAGACAAGACAATAAAATGAAAGCAAACGTTTCAATAGGATGGAGAAATATAGATCGGATTGTTTAGTTGGCACACAATCTAGTCTAATCTTGTCCCAAAGAAAATTAACAGTTTGTAAATAGGTAAGATAGTATTAACAGTTTCTCCAAAGTCTTCTGCATGAGGAATCAAATTTTCCAAAGACATAAATGGCCATTTTAAACAACGTATAAGAAGATGGTTATCAGGAATATTAAGTTCTGCAGGATGGAAATGGAAATGGAAACCTAGTCAACACCTCTTGCAGACAGTAGGCGCCTCAGAATATTCATGGAATGTGAGAATGAATGCCTCATTTGGTGAGTTTATCAGTGTGTGTTTGAACAAAAGAGAGGACACATATATCGGGATGCTCTCTTGTGCCAGAGGTTTTTGTATCTGTGCTATGTTTCCATCTTTTGACACTCTTAACAAAGTGGAAATAGAAGCACACAGATATTAACAAACTTCCTTCAAGGTCATATAGCAGCTGTGAGGAGAGGAGTTGAGATATGAGAACCATGAGAGGGAAGGTGTGTGTGTTTATGCATAAAATGACATGAGCGCCAAAAATAAATGGTTTAATAAAAATTAAAATTCTTCTTGGTGAAAATTTTTTTCTTTCCCAAACATGAAAGAACAGGGAATGCTAAAGTTTCTTTGGGCTGGTTTTGTAGTAGGGGATCACTGTGTGCTACTTGCTTGCACAGTCACAGGGCTCCCTCTCACTGGACTTGAAGTTCTGTTTTTATGGAAACACCACAGTCTCTTCCTCTATCATCATCTCCAAGAGTCACTCAGGACACTTTACGGCCATCTTGAGGACATGCTTACATTATTGCCCCTCTGACCCATTGTGGCAAGCATAATGAAATCCCAGTGAGTAGGGCCTACTGCCGCAACTGCAATTACCCCCTGCATGATCAGATCTCCTTTCTTTGTTTGCAATCCACCGTACATGTTTCTATAGCAAGAGCAGAAGTTGGAGATATGAGAAAGAAATGGAGTGCAGTCTCTTCTTTAAAAAATTACATGTGTAAAGAGACAAAATTTGAACACTGAAATTAGCACTGGACTTAGACTTGGCAGACACCTCAGGGGGTCTTGCGCTTTGAAACATGTACCTCCACATTTGAGATTTCCTAAATTCACCTACAATGTGTGAGACTAACCAGGACTGGCAGTAGCATCTGACCAAGAAGCCCCAATTACAGATTGCACCCATACACACCCAATCCCTGTTTCTCTGCTTTGAGGCCTCTCTCCAACCCTCTTTCCCTCAAGCAAATCAACTAAATGCTCCAAGAAGCTTCTGGACTCATGCCTATGGAATCTTCCCAGAGATGTTGCCTAGCAAATAGGTCACTACACCTGGCTGGTGTGATATATCTTTCATTATATTGTGCAAAATTGTGTCACCAGAAGCCTGTTGATGTTATTTAGGATGTGTCAAACTGAGGTACATAAACAAACCCAGCAAAGGCACAGAAAACATTTACTTATTGAGCCTTTTTATGCTATAAGCTGTGCTAGGTGCATTACATCACTTTGCTTGCTCGTTACAGTATCCTGGAAGGTAGTTGGTATTAGTGCTATTTTGCTAATGAGGAAACGCAGTTCCTCCTGTTAAGGAAATGGCAAAATGAGAACCCAAGTGTGCCAGATCTTCAAAACTGCTCTTAGGGGCCAGCATATGGCATAGCTAGTAAAGACTTTGCCTGCGATGCCAGTATCCCATATTCCCAGCTGTCCCACTTCTAATCCTGCTCCCTGCTAATGTGCCTGGGAAGGCAACAGCAGATGGCCCAAGTACTTGGGCCCCTTTACTCACATGGGAGACATGGATGAAGCTCCTGGTTCCTGGATTCACCCTAGCACTAGCCCTGGCTATTGTGGCCATTTAGGGAGTGAACCAGTAGATGAAGATCTCTCCCTCTATATTTCCTCTCTTTGTAAATCTGCCTTTTAGATAAATAAATAAAAATTTTTAAATGTTCTTGATGTCCTACTGTATTGTAAAGAGACAGGAAGTGTAAACAAGGGATAGTAAGAAACCTTTTTAGAATGGAACTTGGGGTATATGTTGGAAACTAATGGAGACAAGACTAATAAACAAGGCACAGTCATGAGTGACATTAGATGTCAGAATGAGATAGAGACTTAAATAGGCCCTGTTCAAACAAAGCATTCCCATCCCTAAAGGGAAACACACAATATAATATTCAACACTTGGGCATATGAAATACTGTTTTTAAACTGTTTTGCCTCTGTTCTAGAAAGATCTTTGATTTGAAGCTTATAAAATAGCATTCAACCTTCACTTAACATTGCCTGGTGTAATTTATTGTTCCATCTTTTCTCTCCTGTTTTAGACTTTGATCCTGCACTTGGTTTGATGACTGGAATTCCACCAATAACTCCAATGATGCCTGGTTTGGGAATAGTACCTCCACCAATTCCTCCAGATATGCCAGTAGTAAAAGAGATCATTCACTGTAAAAGCTGCACGCTCTTCCCTCCAAACCCAAGTAATGTCTGCTTTGTTCCTCATACAAATCGTGACGCTTTGGTATATAAGAAAGCTTTTTTTCTTTTTCAAAACAATACCCAAGAGCTTCATTGTTGAGTATATAGAAGTTATACCTGTAAGACAGAAGGCAAGAAATTTTTCTCTTTCTAGGCAAAGCTGAATTTTATGTGTAGAGTAGTAGATGCCTGTGTCCTGGCCACAGTACAAATGATACAACATGTATCTAATGCCAGCTGGTAAGGAATTCAAGTGTATAAATGCAGAAGGAAGCACACTACACAAATTGCTCCAAACTGTCTTTTGCAGTATCTCCTTCTCATAATAGGCCCACATGCTGGCAATTTCAGGCACAGAGTGTGGTCTAGCTAACCTGAAGTATCTCTGGTATATTCTGCTTACTATGGCTTCTGAAGTTCCTGTTATCATGAAGTCCAATGATTCAAAAACTTTCATGGTCTTTACTCACCATCCAGTTTGCATCTAAGTCTTCTTGCCTTTTTAGAAAGCACGTTTACCATTAATTCCTTCCCTTCTGTTTCACCTGACACTTCATCTGAATATTCATTGCATATACAGAGCTATCATATTGTCCTGGGATTGTCATTACCCAGTTTCCTGATGGTTTAATTCCTGACCTCAAAACTGTATACTGATCTGCTTTCTGTGACTGTCTTTAATCCATAATTTCTACTTGCTATATAATTTAATCTAGCTCAGCCTTTTCCTAACCTCATACTCCTCACGCTTCCCTCCAGTCCTATTCCATGTGCAGCTTCTCATGGTATACTTCCACATGGAAGGTACTGAAATTAAAGCCACTGTAAAGGATATCCACTTAAGTATCAAGTGCCAAATCTTACTATACTTAGTACTTCCTGCACTTTCCATTCTACTTTGTCCTTCTTGAAACTTAAAGTATTTGAAGGTAGAAGAAAGACTGAGACCAACTAGAAAGATCAATAAGGGAAGAAGACCACTTACAGTATCCATGAAGAATTTCAACATTTTCAGGGTTAAAGAGGAGTTTGCGTTTCTGTATACTCCTTAGCAACATTGCCCAAGCAACCTTAACTTAGAGTGCCACCATTGTGGCTTATCAGGTAAAGTCACAGACTGTGAGGCCAGCACCCACATGGACATCATGTGGCCCTCTCCTCTTCTTTATTAAGACCCTTTCATTCATGCTTTATCTGCATCCCTGTACCAAATGTTCCTTGTTGAAGAATACTAGCGACCTTAAAATGCTAAATCCAATGACCAATTTAAAAAATTATCTGTGTAAGAGGCAGAGAGATCTACTTCAAGAGCTCTTCTGTCTGTTGGTTCACCCTCCAAATGGCTGCAAGAACCGGGTCTTGCCAAAGCCAGGAGTCCAAAGTTCTATCTTGGTGTCCCCTGTGAGAAGCAGTGTTCCAACCACTTGGGTCTATATCTTTTGCTGCCTTCCCAGGCACCTGAGAGGGGGCTGGATTGGAAATGGATGGATGCAGATGGAAGGACTAGTCTCAAAAGAAGCCAACGGCCCAGCATGGTAGCCTAGTGGCTAAAGTCCTGCCTTCAGTGTTTCAGGATCCCATATGGGCACTGATTCAAATCCTGGCAGCCCCACTTCCCTTCCAGCTCCCTGCTTGTGGCATGGGAAATCAGTCAAGGATGGCCCAAAGCCTTGGAACTCTGCACCCACATGGGAGACCCAGAGGAGGCTCCAGGCTAATGGCTTCAGATCAGCACAGCTCCGAATGTTGCAGCTGCTTGGGGAGTAAATCAATGGATGGAAGATCCTCCTTTGTGTCTCTCCTCAACTTCATATATCTGACTTTCCAATGATAATAAGTAAATCTTAAAAAAAAAAAGCCAAAAGGGTATAGGTCATTGCCACCACATAGTGATAACTCCTAAATCTGTATATTCACCTTATGTCTCTATTTTGAGCTTCAGATAGATGTAGTCAGCCTCCCATCAGGCTTTCCTAGGTGGATCTACTTCAAATGCGCGCGCACACACACACACACACACACACACACACACACACACAAAAATGGTGTTATGATATAGTGGACAAGCTATCAGGTTGCAGGTCAAGACAACTATGTTTTATTCCCTGCTCTGTCACTAACTAGCTGTACGGTCTTGGGCTAGTCACATAATCTCTCTGTAACCCAATGTCCCTTCACTTTAAAGTGATAAAAAGACTGGATTATTTTCATCAAGATACCACCAAGGCTTCATCTAAGTTGAAAATTGTGATTCTATGTATTATAAATATAGCTACCAAAATAATGATTTATCTATTTAAAAAAGAAGCCTTCCAAATGGATTGAGAAAAGTAAGGCAAAATTGGTAGGTAGCACACAATTTTGCGCCTTTGTTAAAGTGGGCACAACAGAATAATTATGTACTCAAGCTTAGCCACAGCCCTCCTTTCATAGTCCAGCATCTACCACTAAATAGTCATGTATCTTTGATATGTAACATAACCATTCTGATCTGGACAAGTCAAAATCACACCTGATCCATAACTTCAATTGATTGAACCGGACTGGAACAGAACAAGCACCAGTCTTTTTTTTTAAAATATTTATTTATTTATTTATTATTACAAAGTTAGATATACAGAGAGGAGGAGAGACAGAGAGAAATATCTTCTGTCCGATGATTCACTCCCCAAGTGAGCGCAACGGCTGGTGCTGTGTCGATCCGAAGCCAGGAGCCAGAAACCTCTTCCAGGTCTCTCACACAGGTGCAAGATCATAAAGAATTGGGCCATCCTCGACCATTTTCCCAGGCCACAAGCAAGGAGCTGGATGGGAAGTAGAGCTGCCGGGATTAGTACCAGCATCCATATGGGATCCTGGTGCGTTCAAGGCGAGGACTTTAGCCGCTAGGCCACGCTGCCGGGCCCAGCACCAGTCTTTTAAAGATGAATGGTAATTACTTCACTGTCATCAAATTGATAATCTGTGATTGCAGGGTTTGGAAGTATGGCAAAAGACTGTTCTCTGGAACAGTCTTTTCTTCAGAAGGTGGTTATACGAAACTTCATTAGCAGTTGGCAGTGCTGAGAGAAGAGGGCAGCCATATCTCTCCAGGGAAGTCAGTTTTGCCAAAAGTCTTTTCATTTCAGTTGCTGGCCCTAATGTGTAAAGAGATTGCATTTTGAGTGCACTGGGATAACAGTGAGCATGGAATAAATGATGAAACATTATTTGCTTTTTGACAAAGCATGTAAGAAAACGACCAGAAGTCAGAAAAAAAGAGCAGTTTTTACAGTTTATATCATAGCAGACAGACCCCAATTTCACTCTCAGGGCTGGGCTTTACAAAAAGAATTAGAGAAAGTGGGTAAATTGAGCATTAATAAAAATCCGCCATCCTTCTATTTCCATATACCTGGAACTACAATGAAATGCATCTGACCCCCTACTGACGTTCAGGGGGTCTTGGAGTCTTGGTCTATGGAATAAAATCAATTCAACAACTTTGTGTTATATAAATTCTGGTAACAAGCTGAGTGATTTGTGATGCGCCTCTAAAAAGCATGATGCAAGTGCTTTTCAGGCCCTCTATGCTGCTGCTCCCTGTGTAACTTGTCAAAAAATAGCAATGATTCTGTCCTAATGCTGGATTGCCCCAACACAGCTCCCCAGAGTGGATGCTTGAATGGATTTAGGATGGCTAGCGACACCTCCTTGTCCATTACCAAAGATTAAAGTTCTTTATACTCCCAGTTTACTTGACCCTTTTTACATGGAAGTTTTCTTTGTCTCCATCCTAAGTGGTGATTGGGATGCTACAGAGCTAAAAATATGACCTGAATAATTGGTGGGCGTGAAACTTGCACTCTTATGGGTTGTCATTTCTGTGCCATGATCAGTGTATTTCATAAAGATTACAAAAATCAAGTCCAGACAACTGAGTGCTTTGAGTCATTAATTAAGAAACAGGTGCTATCCATTAAGGAAAATAGCACAGCGAATTTCCTTGCTTGATGGCATACGTCTAAATTTTAGCAAATACTCTCAAAGAGACATCCTACATTTACTCAAGGAAAATAAATACATCCTCAGCATTCTTGACATTACTTCTAGTTGGTTTTTATACTTTTTTTCACTTAGCAAACAGTCACCACAGAAGAAGCACAGCATCTAAACAGGGTGATGACTTCATCATGGAATTTTTAAATTCCATAAATATAGTCAAGGAAAAGAGCATTTACATTTTTTGGTTCTATGTAACTGCAGAAATACCCAAACACTCCTTGAAGTCTCTCAATGAGCCTAAAAGTAGACCTGGGTTAAATCAAATATAAAAAGGTGATTACTTGCTTAAAAAAAATAGAATCGTTTGCCATTCTATTACTTTACATTGTAAACCTCAGAAAGCTTTGTATTCTAAAGCAATATTTTATCCTAAAGCTTTTAATTTGAAACCTGGCTCTATAGGGATGCTCTTGAGTTCCATGGTCAAAGTCATATGAGCTTGGATAGCTGCAGATTCCTCTATACATAATAATTATTCCTTCTCCAAAGCAACATTGTCTAAGGATCTGGGTAGAGCAAGGGAGCTGAGAGTTTAGCAGTCCAGATCTAAGTTAGCACTTCACTCCAGATTTGTTCTGGGGATATAGAAAGCTCCAGATTGAGAATTAAGAAACCTGGGTTCTATAATGATGAATAATGACATTATAATGACTACTGTTTTTACTGAAAACTCACCAAATGCTAGCTATTATACTAGATGCAATTTAGAGAGTATAATATCAATTATCCTACAATAACTGTCAAAAGGTAGAAACTAGTATCCCTATTTTTAAAATAGAAAAAGAAGTTTTTAGAGGTTATGTAATTTTCCCAGTCAAGCAGGGTATTATTGAATAGTGAGTAATTAGATTAAGGTTTAAGTTCAAGTTTGCCTGTTTCAAGTCCATGCTCCTCTTTTTTTGTTGTTATATTTTTATTTCGAATTTTTGAATTTTGTGGTACAATTTTGTATAGACTGGGATTCGCCACAAACTCCCACCCCCCGAAAGATTTTCCCCATGCTGTTACAATAGTATAGTCCTTCATAAGGAGTCATAATTCCATCAGTCTCTTATTTAAGTGTGCCCCAACATTGCTGGTACAGACAATGTCAGACAGTTCAGCATTCCATTGTCTACACATTTCCAGCAGTTTCACTGGGAGTCCATCTTTTGTTTGGAAGCAGGAATACATGTTGCATTGTACCCCCACATCTGGATATGGTAGACCCCAGTACTCCATCACTATACATTTCCATAAATGAGAAGCCATCTTTTTATCGAATGGGTGACACCAAATGAGATACTTAGCCTCACTGACTTTCCCTTTAATATCAGAGATTTTCTAATTCAGTGGATTTCAACCCTAGATAAGCATTCGAATTGCATAAAGAGCTTAAAACAGCAGCAGCAACAACAAAAACTAATGCTCACTCTACACCCTGTACAATTAATCAGGCTCCTTAGGGTGAGGCCCAGAAATTGTTTAATTCCCGGGTCAATTCTGTGTTTTTGCCAGGGCCAAAATTCACTGGAACTATGGTGGCTAGACTTCCATCTGGTGCCTACAATCTCTGCCAGTGGCCATAACTGTGGTATTTCAGATTCTTGTTAGATTATTTTTTTCTTTCCCTCTAACCCTCTGATATGGAAGGGGGAACCATAATACAATGAGCTCTTGAAATTGCAGATATTAAAAAATTAACATGAAGTAAGTTCTTTAAATCCCTTTATCCCTATTTTGAACTAAATAGAAGGAAAGAGAGCATCATGAGAAACTGACCATTTTTAACCACATCAATGATTTAGACAATGATAATGAGGAAGCAGTGGATGCTGATAGGGAAGCTCCTGAATCAAGTGCTTACCAACATGGAGAAGAGTCAGGTGGGGGTGTTGCCCTAATCTTTGAATAAGGCTCATTTATTTTTGCATGTGAGGTATAACCAATGGTTGTTAAGCTCTCCAAATCTTGAGCTGGGAGAATTGTTAGTAGGTAAGTGGAAAAACAGAATATACAAAATAAATCTTTACAGATTCAAAACCAACACTAGAAAAACTCATGGCCATTATGCTTTGTTTTGTTGGGCTATGAACTTTAAGATTTTGCTTAGAAAACGCTTTGCAACACACAAATAGCAACAAGGAGCTGGCAGCTGCAATGGGCTTTATGTATAAGATGAGTGAGTAGAAAGCATATTTTTAAGCAGAGAGAGAATCATCTCATTAAGTGGTTTTCTAATGACTCTCTATGGCCAAATTCATCTCACTTTAGTTAATGATTTCCCAGACGAGCTTAGTCTCTGTGCTGTTTTTCATACTTCTCTCTAAATGCTTTAAGATTGGCTCTAGGCCTCACCTGTCCAGCAAGAAATTAGAGAAAGATCTCACTGGCTAATTAATTAATTAAAATAAAAGGGGTGGTTTGTATGCCAACTTTGTTAAACCAAATCACTCTGACAGCTGTAAACATTCATCCTATCATTGTCAAGTTAATCCTGAAACAGTTCTTTCAGTAAGCATAAACAGAGAGAGTATAGTATAACTACAGTTATGGAGCCTTGGTTCTGAGAACTCCTGAACGTGAGTATTTAAACTGAGTAGGATTACACACACACACACACACCACTGTTTTTAACAAAAATCATTAGATATTTGGCACAGCTGAATTGTCACAAAAGAAGTATGGAGCAAAACTCAAGAATTCTGAGACAAATAGTATAAAGTCCAACATTCTATTGTCAAAATATATTTAAGTTTCATTGGAAGTCCATCATTTATTCAGAAGTAGAGATGCGTACTGCAAACTATCTCAGTGTCATGGTATACTTGCCTACATTTTATTGATCCTTTAGATAAATATATGTATATATGGGCCTAGGTCTTACCCTTTAGACATCATGTTCACAAATTGATCAAATAAAATGATTTTCAAGTTCATGCAGTCTTCTGTTGAGCAGAGATGGGCATCTTGGGGGCTACATCTTCCTGGAACTCAGGCAAAAATATTGTCAGGAACGATAGAGCTATCTCTGAGAAATGTTAGGGGTCAAAGAGGTCTATCCCAAGCAAGCACTTTTAATTCCAAATGTTTCTTTCCCTTGCATATAGACCTCCCCCCTCCTGCAACCAGAGAAAGACCGCCAGGATGCAAAACAGTATTTGTGGGTGGCCTGCCTGAGAATGGAACAGAACAGATCATCGTGGAAGTGTTTGAACAGTGTGGAGAGATCATTGCTATCCGGAAAAGCAAAAAGAATTTCTGTCACATTCGCTTTGCTGAAGAGTACATGGTGGACAAAGCTCTTTATCTCTCTGGTAGGTGTTTCCATATGGGTACTCTGCCAGTGAGGCAGCAGCGCAGAGATTGGGAATCAGAGTATTGGCAACTGCAACAGCCAAACTGTGAACTTAATATTATTCCTTCTTGCCTTCAGAGGTGGCAAATGCCTGTTACCATCCACCATCCTCTTCTAAAAATCTTTGGTAGTTCCCAGTTGTCTATGAGATAACTGTGGACTCCTTAAAAGTAGCATCTAATGGCCTGAGTTATCTGCTCTCCTTTTCCAGATCAGCTCCCAGTTGTTCCACCAGATACCAAGTTCCAACAGCACTAAACAAAACCTAGTTCCCAGAATGTGCTAAGGCACTTTGTGCCCCTTTAAAAAAATTCAATTACTTTTTCCATTTCCACCCACTATTCACATATCTTTATACTTTGGAGCTCCAACTCCAGCAGGATCTCTGGACAACTATCTCCCTCTGATGTCCACATTCTACCCCAGGCTGATTTAACCAGGCATTCCTAAGTGCCTCCACAGCCCAGCGCTCGGGGCTTCCTGCTAACATGATGTCTAGCAAACTGTGCTAGACTTATCTCTTTCTACATCTGTATCGCCCAGCAGAGTGCAAACTCCTTAAGAGTCTTAAGAGACTGTGTTGTATTTAATATCCCAACATCCAGCACGGAATCTGTTACCAAAGTAGATATCAAAACATAGTTATGAAGCGCAGGTATAAATTTTTATTGACTGCTTGTTATAATGATAGATTATTGGATATATACCAGAAAGATATGGGTAAACTTTTTGTAACAAAATATTACATAACAGCTAATGAGCAAGTGCTCTGAAGATTTTTTTAAAAATTATCTGAGGTTGTTAAGAAAGCAAGTTTTCTCTGACATTTGAACTGAGGACCTGAGTTGAAAATGGACTGAGCATGTTCAAATGGAGGATAGATTAGCATGACTGGGCCATTATAATGAGAGTGGGATGGTGGGGGGAAATGAAAGAGGGAGGTGATATCAAATTGCATTGAGAGTTATAAACTAAGGTGATGAGTTTTATTATGGAAGCCCTGGGGGAATTTGAAGAATTGAGTGCCATAACCTGATTTACATTTTAGAAATATTCGGGGCAGGAAGTCGACTAAGTGATTATAGGTAAGGGTAATAACTAGGAGATAAGTTAATCAATAATAACACTAGTCTAATCCAGAAGTGATAATAGTTTACTGCAGATATGAAGAACTGTTTTGCATGAAATTTCTTGCTTGTAGTAAAAGTTCAGATTTGTGCTGACTGAGACAGGAAGTGATTTCTGATTAGTATTCTTTTCTGGCCTTGTTGAATTGGTTTCAAGAGAGTCTCTTTGCATTCAAATTCTTTAATGGATGTTGACAAATAATACTAGAAGGAAGAAGAAAGTGTAATTGGAAAGGGCACAGAGCATTTAACTACTTCCTTGCCTAAGAATTAGCAGTTTGGAATCACTGGATCCAAGTGCTAGACATTTTATGATAGGAGCATCTTCATCTATGTAACAGGTGCTCATTTAGAATCCTTTGTGTAAACTATTGTGTTAGATTCTGTGCAGAGGATAATAAGATGGCATAAAACTTAGTTCTTCCCTCTTGTGAACAGTGTGACTATGCAGTTATATATTCATTTATTAAATAAATATTTATCTAGCCCAGGCATCATTGAAGACATACTCACTGCTAATAATAATGATTGAAAACTATAGGGTTGGGGAAGAAAGTGGGAAAGAATGAGTATAAATATTTGAGAGATCTTACTGGACATATCAAGAAAGGTGGCATTTGGGTACAATCTGAGAAAGGGAAAGCATTTAGTTGCAGATGGCAGGGCATAGGAAGAGCCTGAGTGAAGATACAAAAGTAAAGTTTATGTACTAAGTAGGTATGAGGGGAGAAAAACCATCTCTTGTTAGCACACTTTGAAAGCTTTACCAGTGGAATCTGTACTTGTTAGGTAATAGGAAATTGCTGAAGAAATTTGTGAACAAGGGGGGTGATTGTTTCTTTAAAAAAAAAAAAGATTAATCTTACAGCTCTGTGTAGAACTGGATTAGAGAAGAGAAAATAAGACAGGAGGTCAGTTAGAAGCCTGTGGCAGTAGGTCAGTGAAAAGGTAATGGATTTTTAAAAAAAAGTAAGCTAATAACATGGAGGAAAGAGAGGAGGAAGCAGATGTAGAACACTCTTATTACAGTTGCTATGTGCTGTAGACTACTGAAGATTTGACAGCACTTAGCAACGATAGCAAAGCATTCCACGGGAAGGTCTCGAAAAGCCCTGAATAGTTGTACATACTGCTCAGAAGGCATCATTTAAGCATCACTGAAATCAGCTCTCTGGTAACAGCCACCTCCTAGAAACATTATCAGGGCTGCCAAAGGAAAGGCGATCACAATCAGTAATGTGAAAATAACTAAATTGTGTTCTTTAACTTTGAACCTGCCCCCAAAGTTCACAAGTGCTAGAAATCTCCTGACTGTTATCTCACATGGTAAGACAATGGTTAAAACAAACAAAAACTTATCTTAGAAAAGGGTCTGAAAATGTAGAAATAATCATTTTTTCCTGTGACAGAGCATATCTGGGAACAGGAATTGTGCACATTGTATGCACTGCATAACATCATAACATCCTTTGCTGTGTGTATGTGGAGAGCTTTCTTGATCCTTTCCAAAATCCTAAGAGAATAGAAGTTAATCATCAATATTTCCCTTTTTCTGCAGGTTCTAATGATCAAATAAGATACATGAGAATGCAAGTGTATTGTAAACTATAAAGGGCCCTAGAAAATTTGCTTATGAAATCTAGTTTTTCATTTTCTTTATGTGAGAGTTTTAGTGTTACTGGATATTGTTCTTTTTTATTTGTATTTTTTTATGAGAGGCAAAGAAACTGAGAGAATGCATAAGCAAGAACTCAGGCTGCTGGTTCAGTTCCCTAAATGCCCACAAAATATCTGGAGCCGGGATGGGACAAAACCAGGAACAGAGAATGCAGTTCAGGTCCCATATGTGCATTTCAGGGACTCAATTACATGAAGCACCCTACTGCCTCCCGACAGCCTACCTTGATAGGAAGCTAGATCCAGGAACCGGAGCCATGCATCCAACCCAGATGCTTTGATGGCGACTGCAGATGTCTTTAACTGCTATGCCTAATAGTTTATTGAGTTAGAATAACTACTATACCAATGGACTTCACATATTTTTAATATTTAGTTATAAAATATTTAGCATGTACATATAGCTGTGAAATCATCACCGACATTCAAAAATCAAGTAATGAATAGGTCTAACATCACCTAATGTGTCTTTCCGGCATCCTTCATAGTTTATTCCTCCTGCCCCTGCCCCTTCCCCCTCAGGCAACCATTTATTTGTCTGTTATCAGATTAGTGTGCATTTTCTAGAACTTCATATAAATGGAATCATATATTATACATGCTCTTCCTTCTTTTGTATAGATCCAGATTTCCATTTGGTATCATTTTCCCTAAGCTTAAATTTTCTTTAACAGTTTTTGTAGTTCATTTCTGCTCCTGATGAACTTTTAACATTCTTATGTTTAGAAAAAGTTGTTTTCGGGCCCGGCGCGGTGGCGCAAGTGGTTAAAGGTCCTCGCCTTGCACGCCCGGGATCCCATATGGGCGCCGGTTCTAATCCCGGCAGCCCCGCTTCCTTTCCAGCTCCCTGCTTGTGGCCTGGGAAAGCAGTCGAGGACGGCCCAAAGCTTTGGGAACCTGCACCCGCGTGGGAGACCCGGAAGAGGCTCCTGGCTTCAGATCAGCATAGTATCGGCCGTTGTGCTCACTTGGGGAGTGAATCAGTGGACGGAAGATCTTCCTCTCTGTCTCTCCTCTCTGAATATCCTCCTTTCCAATAATAATAATAATAATAATAATAATAATAAATCATCTTTTTAAAAGTTGTTTTCACCCTTATTTTTGCAAGATTTTTTTCAATACAGAATTGTAGGTTGACTGATCTTTTTTCTCTCTCTGTCAAGTGGTATTCTATATTCTTGTTTTCATTTGTCACATGATAGCATGATGCTATCATTATTTTTTTGTTTTGTTTTGTTTTTGTTTTTGTTTTTTTGTCTGTACTAAATGGCTTTTTGTCGATAGTGGCTTTCAAGGCACTTTCTTCATTACTAGTTTGAACAATTCAGTGCGGTATAATATACTTATGTTTCTTCTGCCTGGCATTCATTGAACTTTCTGAATCTGATTTTCATCATATTTTGGAATTTTCCTGTCCTTATTTCTGCAAGTGTTTTTTCTGTTCCCTCTCTTTGCCTCTCTCATTCAGGACTTCAATTAGACAAATACTAAGCCTCCTGATATTGCTTATCAATATTCTGTTCCATTTTTTTCAATAGTTTTTTCTCATATTTCATTTTGAATTGTTTCTATTGCTGTTTTCAAGTTCATTAACTGTTTTTCTTCTATAATGACTGATTTGCAATAAATCCTATCCAGTGATTTTTTTTTAATTTAAGATATTCTATTTTAAACTTCTAGATATTTTGGATTATTGTTATCTTTTGTTTCCATTTAATATGTTCATTATTTTTTATAGCTTCTTCAGCATGTGAAATACCACTTTAATAATTGGTGTTCTAGCCTTATCTATTAATTATATTACCTTTGTTACTTTGGGGTCTTATTTGATTGAATGAATTATTTACGCACTTATTGTGGGTTGTAGTTCCTTGCTTCTTTGCATGCAAGTTAATTTTTTACTTAGCTATCTAGTATCATGAATTTTACTTAATTTTGTGGCAGATATTTTTAATTTCTATAACCATTCTTGAGCTTTTGTTCTGAGATGCAGTTAAGTAATCTAAAGAGATTTTATTCTTTTAGCTCTTGCTTTTTAGGTTTGGTAGGATTTTCTATTATAAGATTTATGTATTATTATTTGAAAGGCAGAGTTACAAAGAGGAGAGACAGAGAGCTCTCCCGTCTACCAGTTCACTACGCCAAATGGCCACAAAAGTCAGAGCTGAAGCTAAGAGCCAGGAGCTTCTTCCAGATCTCCCACATGGATGCAGGGTCCCAAGATCTTTGAGACATCTTCTATTGTTTTCCCAGGCCATAAGCAAGGAGCTGGGTTGGAATTGGAGCCTCCAGGACTTGAACCGGTGCCCATATGGGATGCTGGAACACAGGCAAATATTTAGCGTGCAATACGAGGACATCCACCCCAGATTTTTAGATTTTGCCCAACAACACTGTAGCAGTTTAGGGTTAATTTGTCTCTACTACTGAGGCAGATTCTTTCTGATACCTGGATAGTCTGTGGAGGAGGAATTCTGTGCTCTGGCTACTGAGATCTTCTCAGCTCCATGTGACCTCCAGGGATTGTTACATAATGTTCAAATAATTTCCACACTTGCATGTAGCCATCACTGCTCAGCTGCGTAAGAATGGAAGTTGCTCTGCCATCTCTGAACCTCTTTGCACAATTTTGTTCTTTCTTATACTCTGCTGGATGGACTCCATCTGCCAGGCTGTTGGACTCCCAGGTATATCTCTTCAGTTGCAGGCAAACAACATCATGCTCTGCCTGAGTTTCCCTCCCTCTACTAAGGTCTGGGTGCTGTCCAAGTAATAGTCTGAGATAATCGTAGAGATCACTTGGTTTATTTCTTGCCTTAAAATGACCACTGTCCTCATTGTTTGATGTTCAGTTAAAAGCCATTGTTTCACGTATTTCCTTCTTACGTTTTGGTTGTTTGACGGAAGAGAGTAAATCCAATCCTTGTTACTGTATCCTATCAAGCAGCAAAAATCTATGTGTGGTATTACTCTTGAAAGGCAGGTTGGAAAGGAGAGTACAATTGATTTGGAGTCTGACATCCTGTATTCAAGCCCCAGTCCTACCATTTGCTACTTGTTTGACCCAGGGCAAGATGCTTAACCTCTCCAACCTCTCTGATGCTCAATTTCTCCTTGGTAAAATGTTTGCCCTGCAAGCTTTTACTGAGAGTGAAATGAGATAGATGTGTAGATAGATAAATCTAGTTCAACTTGTGCAACCTAAAAAGTACTTAACTCTTTTTTTGCAGTTTTGTTTAAAGACTACTCTTGGATGGTGTAGTTGAAACATAAATTAAAGGCAGGGAGTTGATTCCTTGTTTTCTGCATCCCAAATTAATTATGTGTCACCTGGGATATATATCACTGCCCATTGTACTTATTTTTCTTCAAAATAAAAGTATTAAGACATGTCAAATGCATCTAAAAAGCAATGTGTAGATATTAGAATTCTGAGTTAATACATGTAAGTTTTGCCAGAATTCTGTGTGCTTATATGACCACTACACTTCTAAAAATTATCTGAGAAGATTATGGTTTGGGATTATCATTTGCATTCTTTCCAGCACCACTTAAGGCTCATTTTTTGGTACCATTGGTCAAAGCCAAGGTGGCAAGTGAGAAGAAAAAGACTGATTCAATTCATAGAATAGTACAAGCATACTTCAAGACCCTGCATAAACTGTTGTCAGAGAAGAGTAGCATTCTGAGTCTTTTCACAATTCACCTTGCTGCATAGAAGCAGAGAATATTGGGTTATGTCATCACTAGGAACTGCTGCAATCACATCTGAAATATTTAACTTGGAAAGATGCATTTGCTCACTCTTACGTTCATCTTACACTCCTTTTTCCTCTCTCTCTCTCTCCATCATTCTATTGGCCATAAATTGTCTCCTATGAATTTAGGTTACCGCATTCGCCTGGGCTCCAGTACAGACAAGAAGGACACAGGCCGGCTCCATGTTGATTTTGCACAGGCTCGAGATGACCTGTATGAGTGGGAGTGCAAACAGCGAATGCTAGCAAGAGAGGAGCGCCACCGGAGAAGGATGGAAGAAGAAAGGCTGCGGCCACCGTCCCCACCCCCAGTGGTCCACTATTCAGATCATGAATGCAGCATTGTTGCTGAAAAACTAAAAGGTATAGAAGAATCTCAAGCTACACAATATAATATATGTACTTTTAAATACAACCTCTTTTCTTTACTGAAGCCTCATAAATATAATTGTATTGTTAAAAGTTATACTTTATACTTTGAATTTCCTACTAACAGATTCTAAGCATTTCTTGTACTAGAGACTTACAGGTAGAGTTGCACCTAGTGACTAGAGAGACATAAACTTTGTCCTTGCCCTCTTTGAGTCTGTTCCTTCACTAGCTCAAAGGATGGCATTCTTCCCTCCAGAAATCAGGTGGCTAGAAAGAAGCAGGCTTTCTCCACTTTCCTACAACAGAGAATTTTAGATGGGATCCATAACATGGGACCTTTAACTGTCTCCTTGCATGATGAGTGCAAGCTGGTTTGAATTATATAAATCTCACAAAGTACTCATATGAGAATTATACAAATCTCACATGAGTATATGAAGATGACAGAACTTGATGTGACCATGGAAAACTCAGAGTTCCTGTTTTAAAGATGAGAAAACAGAGACCCAAAAAGTAATCACAGTGGATTTGTTTTCTGAAGTTACTCAAAGCCAACTAAAAGAAGACCAAATAAAACAAGTCTTCAATCACTATAGAGGGACAATCCATTTCACACAGCAATTAGGGGACATCTGGACATTACTAAATCAGACTACATCCCCTTTACTTTTGATTCCTGTTCCCCTTGCTTGATTCTTGGGGCCATTTTGCTAACTTAATGTTAACAGACCTGCTTGGTCTTTTGTCTTCGTAGCTAAAATCCAGTCTTTCTCATTTCCTGAGTGTGGTTGATTTTATTGAATGGGTGCTAGTGCCCCATTGATCATACTGATGACACCTCTAATGGTATGAATTTCTCCTGCTTCTTGTGCTCTCAACCAAGCAAGAAGCTGCTAATTTCACTTTCCAAACAGATTTTACTTACCAGACTTGTTTGCACCATATAGCCCAAGGGACTTAACACATTTAAGGAAATCTAACAAATCTCTTTGGATTGATTTTGACTTGCCATGGAGGAAAAGCAGAAAATATGCAGTCTAGAATAGACACACAGAAATAGTGGTGCATTTTAAACAACAGGGAAAGCTGAAAGCATTAGTAAGAGTCAGGGCCCAATACTTGCCTATCACATGACAGCAAACAAGTCACTTCAATTCAAAAAAAAATTAATCTGATATTGTTTCACCCTCTAGACATGGCAAAACTGAGCTTCACACAGTATATCCACGCACTAAAATTAAACATTGCTACAAAGCCAAGGCTGACTTCTCTTTATGTGTCTACTCTGAAAGAAGGCAAAAGGCAAGAAGTTCAGTTTATTATGAAAGATATTTCCACTTAGCACAAGGCTTTCTGGCCAAAGAGGGATGTGAAAGCCTGGAATGAGGCTTCTGTGGGCTGCTACCGACGCTGTCCATCCTGGAGTCCATAGCAACACGACATGTAAGCAGCCATCTCAGCAAGCAAAACCAGAAGTACTGCGGAGAGGGCTCAACTGCTGTCTGAACATCAGAGACTAATTGCTAAGTAGCTATAGACATCTACATGGAGGGGACCTCAGGCAAGAATAAAATGATGTGAAAAATATGGAAAAAAGATGAATTGCATCAAAATACATGCTAACTAGGACTGAGTGGAAGGCCTGTGGCTATGGATTAGATATAGGCATGATATTATAAAAGCTTTAAGATGTGTTTAAACTACTATCCAGTTAACCTTTTCCTAAGGATTTATCCAAGATTATAATTCCATGGACCAATGGTAAAGTTATCATCAAATTCAAGTTAAACTTGGGAGTGAATTTCACTTTTCCTTATTGGAATATAAAGTTGTAAAAAAAATTTTTTTTAAGATTTATTTTTTTTTTTATTGGAAAGGTGGATATACAGAGAGGAGGAGAGACAGAGAGGAAGATCTTCCATCCGATGATTCACTCCCCAAGAGGCCACAGTGGCTGGAGCTGAGCCAATCTGAAGCCAGGAGCCTAGAGTCTCTTCCAGGTCTCCCATGCGGGTGCAGGTCCCAAGGCTTTGAGACATCTTCAACTACGTTCCCAGGCCACAAGCAGGGAGCTGGATGGGAAGTGGAGCTGCTGGGATTAGAACTGGTGCCCATATGGGATCCCAGCGTGTGCAAGGCGAGGACTTTTACCACTATGCTGTTGTGCCAGGCCCCAAAATTGTAAAACTCTTAAGTAACCTACTGCTGATTTCTCTTTCCTCCTTAACTCTCTCCATCCCATCTCCCTCTCCATTTCTGCCTCACTGCCTCACAGCCTCTCATTCTCAGTCCTAACCTTCTCTCACACACTCGCACAGACACACACCATCACAGAGGTTAAACATTTTTGCAAAATGTCAGAACTATACTCTGAGCACAGAAAAGTTTTTTCTGGAGAGATGAAAGGATTTTCTTTCTGAAAATTCTTGATAGACCATGACCAATCAGGTTGGCTGTTGAGTCTTCCATTCTGCCTGTCTGCCTGCCTGCCCCCTGTGCACACATGGCTCCCCAGCCCCAGCACTGCATTTATCCACCACTAACCTCTTTGCCAATATGTTGAGGAAAATGATGGAGATGTGGTAACCTTTGAGGGTCCTAAATACAAACTCCTCTTTTCAGATGATTCCAAATTCTCAGAAGCTGTGCAGACCTTGCTTACCTGGATAGAGCGAGGAGAGGTGAACCGTCGCAGTGCCAACAACTTCTACTCCATGATCCAGTCGGCCAACAGCCATGTCCGTCGCCTGGTGAATGAGAAAGCTGCTCATGAGAAAGATATGGAAGAAGCAAAGGAGAACTTCAAACAGGCCCTCTCTGGGATTCTCATTCAATGTGAGTGGAAGTTAGAGTTGTGCTGGAAGAATAAAGGGGTACTTTACTTAGTCACCATTTGCTCCACCCAGGAGCACATGCTGATTGGGCCATGTTGTGTCAAGGGGCAAGCTTTCCCTCTTCCTTGCCTTGTACTGTTCTTATACAGCCAGATGCCAGAGCTCTGGTTTCACCTTTTTTTCTGTTTATCTATCTTAGTTTTTTTAGAAACACTGAAACTTCAGTCATATCCTATGATTTTGCAGCTCTGGGCCCCAATGGAAGCTTAGATATTTTATTGCAAGAATTAGGATGTAGCATCAGCATTTTAAAGCTTGTTTTTCTCAGGGTTACGTCATTATCATCATGTTATATGCTTTTTAAGACTTCTATTTTAGCAGTGCATACTAAGGAATAAAAACAAATGTATATTTTCTCATTTTGTTTCATTTCCTCCACTACCTTTTCTGAATTTCATAGACATTGGGATGGCGTTAGAAGCCACTGAAATGACCATTTCAAAAGAAGTAGCATTCCAACGTTAGCAAGGTCTGAAACAAATCAAAAAAAATCTCAAGTAATATTTTTGTTCACCATATTATGAAATTATATAGCCAGTCATATATTTTCAGTATGGAACTGTGTTCACCTTAAAAATAAGGATAGAGCTTTATGATTTTGCTTTTAAACAATTATGGTTCCCTCTCCTCATACTTGACTTCCCATATTTGATTCCTACATAATTGGAATTAAAGAGGGATTTTTCCATTTCCTCATGTATTTTTAAAGTGTTTATGGGTATAAAATCGAGGAGATGAAAGCGCGTGTCCTCAGAACTTCAAATTAAGTAGAAATAGAAAACAGCAGTCATCGTAAGAATGTAAATCCTTAAATCATGAGAAGACAGGGTGCAAACATGACTGTAAGGGAAACATAATAGGTCTGAATTTTCTGTGAATATCCTGTCAGTGGCTCCTGTCCTGCTTTTGTTGTCTCAAAAGAGTCATAGCTAAGCTTGCACTTTCTTAAACTGGGTAGGACAGAAACCTAGAATATTTGTGCACATTTTCCCATTGACATCTTAAGAGATCCTGGAAATACTCACTAGGACTGTACTTAACATAGTATTCCTCCATGAAACTTACATTTCTCTGGTCAACAAGCCAGTCTGGGGAGGCTTAAAATGGATTCAATCCATCTAGGTTTTGCTTCGATGCTTCCGGTTAAACGTGCATCACAGTGTTAATAAACTGAATTGTGTCTCAGTGAAGCACCCAAGCTTACTTCAGAGGGCTAGCTAATGAAAGGAGCTGGTGGTGGAGTGTTGCAGGTACTTTGCCCCCTGCCTCTGTGCTGTGTGGAATCGCTAGTACTGAACTAAACACAAGCAAAGCACATTTTCTATCACTCCTGCCTCTCCTGGTTGAATGAACACACACAATTTACATTTAACCTTTGGGAGTTTTGCTTTTTTTTCTTCCTATGCATTAACATCTCTTCCTTTCAGTTCCATTTAAAATCTTGGTACCCCAATCACAGCCTGGCAAACTGTCCTAAATAGAAGATAGCAGCAGCCTAATGCTTCTCTTTTTATTTCTTTTATTCCCCCTTATACTATCCCTGGATGATGCGGTGACTGGATCCAACTGTTGATTTGATGCTGCAGTTGAGCAGATAGTGGCCGTGTACCATTCTGCTTCCAAACAGAAGGCATGGGACCACTTCACAAAAGCCCAACGCAAAAACATCAGTGTTTGGTGCAAACAAGCTGAGGTTGGTAACTTTGTACCCTGGTAGTACCTGTGTGGGTCAGTTCCTTTATGTAACAAGTTTACATAAAGTTTAGCAAGAATTAAATAGTGCCAAGCTCCATGGTCACAGTACTGACCTAATGAAACACCAAGACATTTTCTATAGCCTGTCACTGTGTCCATACCACCTGCTGTCAAACGGGTAATAAATGTGCACATGTTGTCTTGAATTCATTCTGCTGGGTGGAACCCTTACGAGTGAAGATATAGCTGGGATGATTATAAGTCTGCTTCTCCTGGCTTGCTAGTCTGGGATCTAACAATAATCACTGATCTGTGCATCTAGTATTTGTAATATTATGGCTGTCTTTCTTCTAGTAGAGTGGCTTGACAGTTGAAGCTTCTAGAAGCTGCCTGGTGTTGTCTTAGAGCATTGAGACCTCTGAGCTTCCTTTATCAAAGTCGTTCTGCCATTCTTATAAAGTGGCAGCTGTAGAGGTAGCAGTGGACTCTGGTTTCAGCTTGAGGTTGACCCTCACTTCTCTGCTGCTGCTCAAGTGACATTTTTAGTGTAACACTAGAATGTGTAATATGTGATTCCAAATCCTAGTTAAAAATCATGATAGGAGGTTTGTTGTCACCGATCTGCCTGTAGAATTGGTGTCAGGTATGCCTTGAGTTTTTCAGTTCCTGTGGAAGCATCTCCACCCAGTTGTGATACTTTCAACTTGTGTGTGTAGGAACATCGTTTTCAGCTTCATTTTTGAATCCTGTTTCCAGTGTGGGGAATCATCATATTCCTTAGCATTTACATAATCACATCTATACTGTTTATATCTGCATTTTCTCTTACAAAGCCCTTTAACACTGATTATCTCACCTGAATGAGCCTCACAACAGACATAAAGTAATGCAAAGTGTGTTGGACTTGAAGTGGACATGAATTCAAACCTCAGCTCTGACTCGTTATTACTGTGAAACTTTGAGCAAGTTCTTCAGCCTCAGTCTGTTTTTCTTTGCCTAAATATTGGAAATAATGAAAACTATTTGAAACAGTTAAATTAGAATTGAGTTAAAATGCATAGTTTGAAAAAAATGTAAATTGTATTTCATTATATTATTAACAGCCCTCCGAGCTATGATGAGTAGGTATAGAGTCCCATGTTTTACATATTAAGTAAACATGAAATGAAGAACTATCAAATGATTTACACAAATTTCTACAGTGGGCAAGTGAACCAAAAATTATTGTCATTCTGAGCTCTGGTATAATCTGTCTTGTGGTCTTGAGTAAATCACTTAACCTTTGTGCACCTGTATTTTTTAACCTATAAGTTAGAAAATATCTCATTGGAGTATATGAGATGGTTTATTTAGGAGCAATTTGAACACCATCAGGAGCATTTCAGGGAAAATAAGTGAAAACGTGTTCATGAAATCATACTCTCTGAGCCATTGATTCTGGGCCTTCAGCAAGATCTGGGAGACACTGAAGTCTTGCTAAATAAAATCAAGCGCAGAGCCAATCTAGCTCATGACCTAATATTGTATTATATTAATGCCTGTTTAGATAACAGTTGCTTTGTATAGTTTTTCTTTTTGTTTTTGTTTGGCTTGGTTTTGTTTTGGGTGGGGTTTTTTTTTTTCCTCTCTGCAAACTTCTGCCTTATAGCAGGCAATTCTGCAGAAAGAATTTTTCCTTTGAGCATTATGGAAGCCTCTTAGCACCCTACTGGAAATTACCTCAAAGACAGTCTACAATAAGCTTTTTCTGGACCTAGGCTTCAAAGCTACAACTCCTAAGTCAGAGGTTTCATCAAGGTAGAAGTGTTTGACATTTAACCTTTTTACCAGTTGCCTCTAAAAACAAGTCAGCTGATAACTTCCGCATGTCACAAAGTACCTGTTCTCTTATTTTACATGAACTTTTTGAGTTACAATTGAAAAGGGCAGTGAGAAAAGCTGAAAGTGCTTCTCCTTGCTGAAAGTTAGTGTCTACAGAGACTTTACTGGTACTTCTGTGTGTTGTACAAACACTGTTTCTACAAAATCCTTTAAAACGTTTATGTTTCTCTCAAGTTTGCCATAAATTAAAGACTAAAACCTAGAAGACATATAAATAAAAACCAGAGCCCTAGATAGAGACAGCAGGAGGGAAGGGTACTTAATAATGCCAATCTTCTTATAAAGTAAAATGATTGCTAAAGGAACTTTCTAAATTTTCCAACCTACTGTTCCAAACCGTGAAGAACTGCTTAAAAATAGATATTCAAGTCATCTACATACTCTTGCTGGGAATTCATTTGCACTAAAACTAGCTATTGACTTTTACTCATCAAAAAACATAATAACCCAATTTAGATCAACCTAATTTGTATTTGCATGATATATCATACAATAGACATTGATCGAGAAAAAACCTGTGTTGCAGTTTGCTTCATTGTATTAAAAGATATCTCAAAATCAAATTCTTCAGAAGTACAGAAACTATCTTCATCTCCTCTGCTCCTTCTCAAAGCCTTCTCTAGCTCCTTTTCTACCAAGTTTCCTGTTACTGTTGAAAGTCTGGCTAAATAGAATCTTGTCACACATTCAGTAAGGAAATTTGCTTTTCTAGTAATAATGTTTCTATCATAAAATGTGAATAAAATGAATTTAAGTCCACATAAATTTTTGTGAAACTAGAGTTGGTAATTAATGTGTAAGGATTTATGATTTGCTTACTTGGTAAGAAATCAATAATGTCTACTGGTACAGAAGTGATTCTTTTCATGCATTTTCTTTAATTTCATGTTTCACTTTTATTCTGTGTGGATGTGTTCTGTCCTCCATTGTGGAGTGATGTGTGAATTTCTAAGCTTCAGGGAAAAGAAATTCATTAAGAAGATTAAAAGTCATTATAATGTGTTTCAGGAACTAACAGGTCACTATTGAAATGAAAAACACCAAAGATGTACAATAGGCCACGAAAGTGACATGGGAACTTTGGAAGGATTCTTACCTCTTTACATGCAGTTAATCATGATGTGACCCAGTCAGTTTCAGGTATAGATTTAGAAAGGTAAAATGTTGAAAATTATTCTTGCACACCTTTGCCCACCCCCTTTGGTTCCAGCACTGTATCCAAAGGTCAAGGAATTGGAACAAATCTAGGAGGCGGCTATTTCCTTCCCTCTCTGCACCTCAGTGGCCCAGAGTCCTCTCCCTGCCTGCACCTATGTCCAAGCTAGATACAGTACATTCCTCAGTTATGAAATGTCTTCAGAAAGTTGATAGAAAATGTCCATTAAGAAAAACACCTGTGCAGCAAGACAGTTATCTTTTTTTAATTGGTGGCTTTTTAATTTATTATTTATTTATTTTTAAAAGAGCAACAGAAACAGTCAAGGGATTGGCCATCCACTGGTTCATGCCCCAAATGCCCACAACTTCCAGGGCTGAAGCCAAGAGCCTAGAACTCTGTCAGGATCTCCCACATGGGTGGCAGGGATCAGGTACTTGAACCATCGTCTTCTACTGCTCAGGATATGCATTAGCAGGAAGCTGGAATAAAAGCATAGAGCAGACATCAGCTGAGGCACTCTGATAGGGCAACTCAGAGACCCAAGCAGCATCTTCACTCTGTGGCACAGCACTCATCCCAAACTTAACATTTCATTTTCCCACTAATGTTCTGACATAGTCCTGTATATGCTGCCTTTCAGTCCTTCAATCTAAAAGTATTTGTTAGGGTTCTTCCTAAAGCAGACCTTTGTTCATCCAACTGGAGAATGAGGGTGGTTAGTACCTCAGATATCCAGTATTGTAATGGTAAAGTTTTCAAGAAGGAAAATCTCGCCCACTTTTTCCAGGAATGCATTAATTTGCTAAATGCTCCACATACATTTACCATTGTATCACACTCCACAACCTCTGCAGTTCTCTTTGCCCTTTAACCCATTCATCTGACATAGTATTGGCTGTTTCTAGAGAATAATGATCTGGGCCTTAATTTTTTTTATAGCTAAAAAGGATTGGTTATTGGGCTCTGCCACTTTGCCTAACTGACTGAACAACTTAGAGCAACATTCTTACTTTTTCTTACACTCATCTCATTTTTGGATAAAGCAGCTAGTAATTCATGTTCCTGAAGTATTTTGAGACGTTCAGATAAACACTTGCCCGTAGATCTGTTATGTCTCTAGGGATTTTTGAAGATGTGAAAGGCCTCTAGATAAACCATAACACAAACATATTGAGCTTTTCTGATATAGCTTAGAAGAGATTGTTGTTGCTTGCCCACCCAGCTCGAAGCAGGAAGATGCTTTGTGGATGCTGAGCAGCTCAGGACATGTTGTAGCTCTCATATCTCCCTACATGAGATTCTTCCATAGAAGGAACACAATTTACTCTTTTGAGAAATACAGTAACATTCCTGAGGTTAAGTGATGCATTGGTGAATTGAAAGTTGGTCTCTGCTTCTATCCTCCTACAATCTATATTTTCGTTAGGCAACTAGGAAATCATGACTTTTCCTAATGCAATAAGTTGTGCAATATCCAAATTTGCCTGTGCCAAACATTATTATAATCACCTTTCCAGTAGGAGCTTTGATAATGACTGAAAACTAGACTTCTGAGACAGAATAACTTCACAAAAATGAGAAATTTCTTTATTGTTCTCTGTGCAGTGAGTTTGAATAAGACAAAATCAGCACAGCCCTTTAAAGTTCATTTTTTCAAACAAGTCATTATTATCTTCTATTTAAGTAATGTCCCTGTAGCACATGGAAGTTGCTATGCTAGAATCTGATTTTCATATTATTTCTTAAGTAGCAGTGATGATCTTGAGTGGCTCACTTTTTTTGTAGGGGGGACGGGAAGCTCTTATTTTTAAAGAGCTGCTTACTTACTTTCAGTTTTTAAAAAATGGGTAGAAGTAAGAAGCGTTATTTCTTCCTGACAAAAGTCACTTAGAAGGAAGATATGAGTTGAGCTCATTACTAGTTAGAACATTGATTGTAAAGAAATCTATATGAAGTGTCCACATCCCATATCAGAGTGTCTGCATTCCAGCCCCGGCTCTGCCTCCAGTTCCAGTTTCTTGTAAAGCACACCCTAGAAGGCAGTGGATCATGGCTCAAGTATTTGATTGCTTGCCAGCCAGGTGAGAGATCCCCAGGGAGTTCCTGACTCGGTGCTTGGGTGCTTTGGCCAGTCCTGTTGCACATATTTGGCACGTAAAGCAATGAATGAAGATTTTTCTCTGGCTGTCTCTTGTCTATCCATCTGCCTTTCAAATAAATAGAAATAAATTAGTAAAAAAACTTTTTAAGATGAAATCATCATAATCCCTCAAAATAGAGGCAGTTTTCACCGAACACCTTAGACTGCATCTTGTGTGACAGCCCAGCCGGGGCTAACATAGACAGCGAATACTCTGCTCAATGCTAAGGCGCCTTTGACAGGCACCTAGTGGTACAAGCTGCTTCCAAGTACACGGTTCTCAGCCTTACTTTTTTTTTTTAACTGTGATTTCCAGTCTGGTTCTGATCATTTCAATTGTTCCTCCCTAAAGGTCAATACCTCCCTAAAGATCTGTGCTTACATTCTAGTAGCGCTTTCCTTTTGCCTGAAAAACTTTCTTCAGCATTGGTTACAGAGCAAGTCTTTTCATTATGAATTTTTGCATGTATTTTTGTCTGAAAATATAATTTTATCTTCATTCTTGAATTTTCCTCCAACTATGGAATTCTGAGTAAATAAATATGTTTATTTTGAAACTTTAAAGAAATTTGAACTTTCAAAATACATTTCCACTGGCTCTTGGACTTTATTGTTTCTGCAAGAAGACATACCTTTCAAATATTTTTCTCTGTATAGGATATAATGTGGTATTTTTCTCTGGATAGGATTTCTTTTCATCTTTAACTTTCTGCAATTTGACAATTATGTTCCTAGAAATGCTTTTTCCATACATATCCTGCTAGGAGTTCTCTGGGCTCTTTAAAATTATTCTCTTTCTTCTCTCTGGGATTCCATTTACTTGTATGTTATACCTCTGCTTGCCATCCTATGAGTGCCTAAGGCACTGTTTGGTTTGAACAGATCTTTTGTTCTGTTTTTCAGATTGAATATGTTTGTATTGAATATATTTATCTTTAAGTTCTCTCTTTGTTCTTTTATCTTTATTCTATTTTAGGCTCATCCAATTATTTCATTTCATATATTGAGATATTGTGCTTTTCAGACCTAAAATTACCCAGATGTAGTAATTAGCAGACAAAGAATTAAAGCAGCTATCATAATTATGCTTATTATATAAAGCAAATATGCTCTAATGAATAAAAAGATGGGATAAATCAGCTGAAGAATAGCAACTTCTAAAAAGAACTCTTGATTACTTTTATTTCCAGACAAAAGAACCTAGGCTCATTTTATTGCAGTTTCTATTACTCTGCTCAGATTTCCTATCTTTTCATTCATAATGAGCATTTTTCTTTTAATTCATGAGCAGAGTTACAATAGCTGTTTTACTTCTTTGTCTTTTTATTACACATCTAGATCATTTCAAAGTTGGCCTCTGCTCATTCCCCTTTCTCTTGGAAATGGACCATCTCATTCTTTGAATGTCAAGTAATACGGGATTTTTAAAATAGTATTAATATTTTCTGAATATTATGTTATTAAGACTCTGGATTCTGTTATGTTCTTTTGGGGAATGTTGACTATGGTTTTGGGTTTTTTGTTTGTTTTTCTTTAATTATCAATTCACTTGGTTGAATTCAGTCTGAATATTCTGTCTGTGGACTAAGCAACTTAAAGCTGTTTTTAGTTCTTTTAGCCTTAGCTATGCTGTTTGAAATCTGCCCTATGCTTTTGTGGACCAGGGTTAATGCAGAAATTTAAATGGATTTTATGTGCAGAGTTTTAATCTCTGTCTCTGTCTCACTCTGTCTTTTCTCTTCTTCAGTTGATCTTCAGAATATGCTTAACTTTTCACTCTCTAATGCCACAAAATTTATAGGCTTTGTTTTGTCCAAAGATTATAGGTATTATCCATGTGGAGAATTAGCCTAGTAGCAGTTTGCCAATGAGAGTTCATTTCTCTATGACTTGTGAAACTATGAAAAAATAGTTCAACAGTTATATTAAGTAAAACTATAACAGAAAAGAGAATAACAAGCAGCAATGGGAAAGTAAAAATGGCAGAATGCTTAAGGGAAAACCTAGTAGGCCATGTACAGTGTAGGGGATTTTTCCTGACTAGAGGAACTTTCTGGTTTAGGAGGGAGACCAAAATCAAGGCTGGTAGAACTTGTGAGTCTGGACAGAAAGATTCACGTGAAACAAAGAGTGTAATGCAAATCTACTTTTTTCCAGTGCAACTGTCATGGTCTCAACATGTTCTTTGCCCTTTCCTTAAACATACTCTGAGGGGTGATTTGAAAATGCCATTTAAAAGCTGCTTTATTGTATCCTTAACTATGTTCATTTCCTTAACATTTTCAGTACTTCAATACAACTAACCTAACTTTTCACCTCAGGAAATTCGGAACATTCATAATGATGAGCTAATGGGAATCAGACGAGAAGAAGAAATGGAAATGTCTGATGATGAAATAGAAGAAACAACAGAAACAAAAGAAACTGAGGAATCAGGTAACGATGATTCTGCCTTGCTTTGTTTAATCAGCATGTACTCACAGGGGTGGTATTTTCAAGTCTTCCATGGGCATCAACCCACAAGACTGGGCATCAACTAGAAGTAATTGGCGAGGCCATACATGTACATGCTGGTCAGTACATATCAGCACTGTGACCATAGGCTTTTCTGTGGTCTCCATTTCTTTCCCCTCTTCCCTACAAGTGTCTAATTAAGAGTGTACTTTCAAAACATAAAATTAGCAGTGTTTAAGATACCATTGAGACAGCTCCACCCCATGTTGGAGTGGCTAGGTTTGAGTCCAATTCCACTTCCAATGGCAGCCTCCTGCTTAGGTACACCCTGGGAGGAAGGGATGACAAATCAAGTAACTGGGTCCCTGCCACCCCATAGGAGTCTTGAATTGAGTATCAAGCTCCTGACTTAAGCTTCACTCAGTCCTGGCTGTTTGGGGTATTTGAGAACAAAACCAGTAGATAGAGTATGTGTCTGGCTCCATCCTCCTCTATATGTCTCTCTGCCTTTCAAATTACAAATATATATATACACATATAGTGTACTTACTTTCCAAAAAGTTCTGGGTTTGTATGAAACATTGTTCTTTCCATGTTTGGTTTATACCTACTAATATTTGTTGTAATAGAAATAGAACAAAAACATAAATAGATAGATAGATGCTAACCTTTTAGGGAAGATAGATAGATCCCTATATCATTGATACCTAAAAATTAATAATACATTTTTAAGATTTGAATGTTAACACAAACAAATATGGAAAATATAGTAATGGGAGACCTGGATTGAATTTACAGCTCCCAGCTTCAGCAACAGCCAGAAGCGATCCAGGAAACAGGAAAATTCTGTCTATGAATTTGTCTATGAATCTATCTAGCTATCTATCTATCTACTTTTGACTCTCAAATAAGCAAGTAAAAATTATTAAAAACAAACAAAAAGAAGTTATATGATTTATGGTAAAAACCTATAAGGATAGACATAAACATTTGTGACAAATGTGTCTTTATAACATTAACTATTTGTATTAAAAGAATTAGAAGAAAATTTATACACTAATGCATAGGATCTGCAGCTTGTGACAGTCTATTTGCTGCCTTCCGTTGTGATTACTTGGGGGCATACTGGGAAACAAACAAGAGTTCACAAACAGTTGTTTTGGTAAAGACATTTGTTCTTGTATAGTCAGGATGCCACTGTGAGCCAGAGGCTACAATGTGGGTCACAAGGGCTGCCATTGGGAAATTTTTGAACAACAGGACAACAACATTGACTTCAGTTTCATAAGAAATTGTCTTAGATGTCATGGTGGAGAATGAAATAGCCAAAAGGCCAGTATTTGTAGGAAAATGTTCAGACAAACTTACAAGTTTGATTGTGAAAAGGCACAATGGAAAAAAACACTGAAACTAAAATTACAAAACACAAGTTCTCATCACTGCTTTTGCTTTTTCCTCCTTGACCTAGAAGGAACTTCTATTCCACTAAACCTCAGCTCCCTCACTTGTAAAAACAGGGATTTTGCAATGGTTAAACTATTTCACTAGTCATTTATCTGCTTAGCACTGTGCTAAAGATCGGAGATATAGTGCTTTATTGTCTCCTGTGAGTATGTGTATGTGTATGAGAGAGGCGGGGGAGAGAGAGAGAGAATAATAATGCAAATCTGAATGTCTGGTTCCAATACCTATATATATTGAAGTCAGGAGCTCTGCACCCACTGTGTTGTTAGTGAGAACGTTATCTTGTGAACAGAGCCAGTAAGGAAAGAAAATCGCCAAGTCAGACTATTTTAAAAGACATTTATTAGTTGTTATATCTGAATTTTGTTTATTTCCCCATATATTAGGTCCTAAAATGTACAAACTGCTGTCTGTTGGCTAAACCCTTCATAATCAGTAGTTAGCATCTGCAGAATAGTGAACTAATTACTGCAAATAGATACTAAAAACTCATAATTAAAACAGACAACAGAGCTATTCAGATTATTTAAGTGCTTAGCTAGTATGTTTTATAGCTGATTAATCTTTAACTTCAGTGATTGCTTCCACCTGAACCTCTACTGTATTGTATACAATGTGTATCCAGTGCTACCATGAAATAAATGCAGCCATAAGTTTGAGCATCCACTTGATAAATTGCTGCATTTGACGAGTTATTTGGGGAGGAGAAGGGTGTGTGGGAGATTCAGATTGAATGCACTTACTAGGGTTATATAATTGCATTTTGCTTCTGTATCTCTTTTGAGTTAAAAGCGGTATTGGCTACTGCACAGAATCTTATTCCTTTAGAGACTAGAAACTCCCTGACAGATCATCTTAGAGCTATTTTCTTTCCTGTTCCACATGCCAGGATGCTGCTTTGTCAAATAAAGCTATCTACAATAGACTTAATGGAGCTTACCAAATAGCTGTTCTCCCAGAAGGTTTCAATTCGTTTTAATTCAAGGACTTTTGTGCATTTTTCTTTCTCTCGATCGTATCTAATTCTGCTATCTTGCTTCTGTAGTACTCAGCTGTAGAAATCCTGCTCTCTGTGAGCCACTGAGAGAGTCCTCAGTTTTTATCTACATCAGCTACATGTTTTTGCCACCATCTGGTTTTACAACTAAGAAATAGAGCCAACTGGATCTGAGTGGTTTTTCTCCCCTCTCTCCATACATACATACATTCATGCATACAGTATGTTTATGGTAGAATTTTCTTTCACAGAAAAATTAAAACCAAAGTAGCAGTTCAAGCTACCTCTTCTGGACTGCCACAGAATCCCTCTTCTTCCTGAGACTATGTGTTTGTCAGTCCCTTTTTGTGATCCAGTCCTTAAACTATTCTTGCCATGGAAGAAAGGTCTCCTCTGCTCAGAGAGTTAAAGAAGGAGACTTACATCATAGTAAGTCATGACTGTGAAATTGTCATGCTATTTGTAGCCATAACAAAAAAGTGCACGTATTCAGAAAACATGAAAAATTGCTTCCTTTCAGCATCTGTTGTCTCCTTTCTTAAACTTGTCGTTCTCAAAGTTGGTAGAACAAAAAGATCTTTCGAGTTACCTTTCAAAATTCAAGTTTCTAGGCTGTCAAATCTCATATTGTAGGTCTGTAATAAAGTTTGAGAATATTCATTTTGTTGGTGTCCTAAATGACTTAGGTGCTGGTGGTTCAAGGAGCACTTTTGCAAAAAATATTGAGACTAAGCATTCTAGTTGTTCTAGCCAAAATTTTCTCTTTTCTTTTCACCCAGTATCCAACCAGTTTCTGTTATCCTCACGTTAAGTGTTTAATCAAAGGCTGGTGTTGTGGTACTGTGGGTTAAGTCACTGCCTGCAGTGCTAGCATCCCATATGGGCATTGGTTCAGGTCCTGGCTGCTGTACTATCAATACAGCTCTCTAATAATGCATCTGGACAACCAGCAGATGATGCACAAATACTTCTGCCCTTGCACCTATGTGTGAGACCCTAAAGGAGTTCCAGGCTCCTGGTTTCAGCCTGACCCAGCCCCAATTGGTACAGCCATTTGGTGAGTAAACCAGCAAAAGGAAGATCCCTTTGTGAACACATGCGTGTGTGTTGTGTGTGTGTGTTTGTGTCATGTGTGTATGTTTTTCCCTTCTCTGTAACTCTGCCTTTCAAATGAATAATCTTTTTATGGAATAGTTTAATCATTTAAGCACTGATGAAAATAAAGATGTAAATATATGTAACTGCACTTAAAATATAAGAAATATCACTTGGTGTAAATCTGGAAGTACTGATTTGAATGCAGCAAGGGCAAGAGATATTACTATGGGTCAGAGTAGTCACAGCCAGTGGAAATTGATCCAGGTATTTAAAGATGAACAGGTTTGGATGTGGATGAAAGGAAGAAAGAAAAAAGCATCTTGATGGGGAGGGAATTGGAAAGATCAAGACTCAAAGAGGGAAATAAGCATGATGTTTATTGGAGGATAAAAAATTGAATAAATAAATGTGTAAATGGTGGAGAAACACAAGTACCATGTGCTGCATCCAGCACAGTTTAGACCAGGATGAAGAAGGTAGACAAGGCAAAGTGAGAATGCATAAAGATACACATAGAAGTGTTTTTAAAGCAGGGAGCAAAGGGAATCTTCCCTAATGAAATGGGGGTATTTCTCCTCCAAGAAAGAACAGCTTAGTGCCCGTTATGGTGGCTTTTGTTCATCTGGGGAATCGTTTCAGGTCAACTTGATCCACCCAGGGGCCATTCCCCTTGTTGTTTGCTAACTAATCACCATCCCAGCCAGGAGTTCCTCAGGTGCATCCTCACATGCTCAGGAGGAGGAGGAGAGCAGAACATCTGGCCAAGTACATAAGCTCCTTGAACTCATTATCTTAGGAATGTGGGCTCTCTGGGGCTCTGGCCTTGCTGACCTCAGACCTTGGTAATGCAGTATCACTGCCCTGCAACTTTCTTTTTCTTTAGAGGACTAGCCTAAGGTCTTTCATGGCCAATTGGCTATAGATGTTTAAGAAAAGGAAAGATCTGGAAGACTGATTGCATTAGTTCACCATGTGTGCCATTGTAAAATACCACATTCTAGAAGACTTAGCCACAGAAGTTTGTTATCGCAAAACTGGAGGATAGATGTCCAAGATCAAGGAATCATCAAGGCTGATTTCTTCCAGGGGCTGTAAGGAAGGATCTTTTCCATGCCCCTTTCTCAGCTTGTGAACGGTTGCTAGCAATACTTGATGTTCCTTTGCTTGTGGATGAATCACCTCCGTCTCTGCCTTCATGTTCACATAGCATTCTCGGTGTGTGTGTGTGTGTGTGTGTGTGTGTGTGTGTCTGTCTGTCTGTCTCTGTGTCTAGTTTTTGCCTTTGTTTAAATAATGATCAGGACCCACCTTAATCTCACTCTAATTTGTTACCTCTGTAAAGACTCTCCAAACATGGTTACATTATGAGAGCTTCGACATCTCTTTTTGAGGGGAGAGGTGGATATAATTCAACTCATCACAG